AGAGAGAGAGAGAGAGAGAGAGAGAGAGAGAGAGAGAGAGAGAGAGAGAGAGAGAAGAAAAAGAAACACCTGTAGTAAGAGAGCCCTTTGTAACAGTTTGGTAACCCGAACAGAAAAACCTTTGATAAACCCCTGGGAGAGCTTAAATATTTCTCCTCTCTCACTCCCTGAATATGGATGGCTGCAGGTCAACCCTGAAACAAGATGACCATCCCACCAGCATCAACAAAGCCCTAATCCTGGAGGAAGGAAGTGGGGTCTGGTTTCCACTGTTGCTATAAAAAAATCAGGGTTTTGTTTCTCACGGTTGCTCTTCCAGCGGTTGTAACGCAGCAGTTTGCTTTGGCAGGAAAAGCATCTTCTGAAGACAAAGGGCTGTTTTACCCGGAGCCCCGGTGAGCACGCGTGATGTTCTGCCCTGATGTCACTGGGTGGCGCTGAAGGAGCCCGGATGGCGATGCCTTCGCTTCCTACTTCTGCTGGGTCGGAACTGGACTCTTGTCGGTCACAGAAACCATGTGCCCAGGTGACTCTGAGGAGAGTGGAGCCAACTCCCTCTCAAAGCCACTTTTAACGTGGACAGTCGCTGTTTTCTCCCTCTTATATAAAGAAGGAATAAAAGCATATTTAAGAAAAGATGTTTTTTACTTGGAAAATGCTATTTTTATGGGTCTGTGAAGACCATCTGTGTAAGTGTGCAAATGCAGCCCCAGGCAAGTGCGACATCAAGGCACCTTGCCTTGGGGAAGGCTGAAGGAGGGCCACACGCCTCCCTGGGCTTCCTCAAGGCCTGCTGATGTGTCGCTGCAGAACACACTGTCCCACAGCTTAACTGATGTAGCATCGAGTCCACTGTAGTCCAAGGTTAATAATTGCAGGGCACAAGTTCAAGAGCAGAGGACAGAGAACCTACCTCTTGATAGAAGGAATATCAAAGAATTTGGGGCCATGTTTTTCAACAGCAAACCTAGGATATTGCCTTTTACCCATTCTCTCTCCTTGTTACTCTCTGCCTCTATCCTTTAAGGTTGTGGCTGGGTGGGGACAATCACTAGAGTTGAGCCCAGAAGGATATGACCTCACTCCCTCCTTTCTTTCCCCACCCCAGCTTTAGAACTACTTCCCTTCAGTCATGGCCAAGCTTGCAGAAGAAAGAAAGGCTGCCGGGAATTTGATCAATGCTCCTTCCAGGAGGGTAGGAAGACTAAATGCTGGCGTTTCAGGTTGCCATTTGATACTTCCATCTGGGGGCCAGAGGAACTATCTCAGTGAAGGGAAGAGTGATGGTCAGAGAATCCTGAGCTAATGAGTCAATGTTTCTGAGAGGCCTCAGGCCCCAATGGCCTGCTTTACAACACAGAGCAGAATTCCTGCCACCATTGTTATTGGTAGAGGTAGATTATTATTATTGGGATGAGTTTTTAAGCTTGTGTTTCTTGTTCTTTTATTGTGCTTCAAAAGTAAGAGACATTAATAGTCATGAGGCCCAGTTAGCTCCAGGCAATTTCCTCTGAGGTTGGTGACAAGGAAGTGAGATGTTATGCCAACTAAGGTGGACATCAAGTCTTCAACTGAAGCCATTAATTTGCCTCACAAATGCTGCCACGCCACTATGGGAGTAATGACTGTCTCACTCCCAGACCCAGACTAATTTTGAGCCCATGATCTTGAGTGACACGGTACCTCCCACAGCCATTCTATAAAGAAGAGAATGACAGCAAGTCAGTGGTGTGGCTCCTTCCAATTACGAAGGTGATGAAGGACATAAAGATACTAAGTATTGAGGCCTGCAGGGGGACAGTGGCTCAGTGTCAATAACCACAGTGGTCTTTTCACTACTAATTTGACCAGCTAGGCTCATATTCTTGATACAGTTTTTGTCCTTTTGTAAGCAGTGAATTAACTTCTTTCTCGCATTCAGACATACACCCTTCTGCCTCCATCAGACCAGGACCTCAGAATGGCCTTCACCCAGGAAGAATTTATAAGTACAGTGAATAAGGTGAACATTTATCTTAGAAGATTTTTCTACCCAAGTGGACAGGAGAGTCCAGGGATGTCACTAGTAGTCAGCTTGGGATTCAGGAATTATTTCTTTGGGAATTTCTTCCATTCCATCAAATACTAGAGCCTGGAGGACTGGAGGATTTCATGCGATTTTCAGCTGGACCCTGGTGGATGAATACAATGTTAATAATCAAAGAGGAAGGAGAGGAGAGCCTCTGGGGAAGACGGGCAGGAGACGGATGAGAAAGGAGACTGTGGGATGAGACTCCTTTAGCAGTGGAAGAGCACACACTTTAGGGTCCCACTTTTCGTTCCATTGTTTGGCAGCTTTGGCAAGATGCTCTTTAAATCTCAGTGTCAATATGTATATATGGCAGCTGCTTGAGGAGAGGGGCGTTAGGATAAGACATACTATCAATAGTAATGACTACGTAAGTGTTCATTTGGAGGGCAGGAACCTGTCCAGATGGAGCACATGGCTTGTGTTGGGGAGGAGAGGAAGGTCAGTGTAAAAGATAGTGGTGCGTGACTGTGAAATTGGTGCTAGAAGATTGGATGTACCACCTTCTAGATAAGCAATCTGAACCCCAGAGAATTGAAGTAAACTTATCAAATCTATGCTGTGTTCATAATACCACCTGCATATCTGGTCTTCTCAAAAATACAAGATCTTTGAGGGCAGAGGCTGTGACTTCTATATCTTGGCAAACCCCTGCAAAACCCAGAACATCATGTTGCTGCTCGCTTCCTACTTTTTGAATGAAGGGAACATGAGTTCACTAAAGAAATTGGCAACTACACTAATCGTTGAGTATTACTATACAGTTCACCAACTAATCATAACAAAACTCTTCTTTCTTAGAGTGTTTAGTTGAGCCAGGTGGGTAGAAGAGATGGGTCCATAAACAGCTCTAAGATTCTACCTCTTTGTCCTTGGCACCCCCATTGTGGGAGGGAAGCAAAAGAAAAAGAAGCTGGAAAAAATGGATAATACCCGATGCCAGGAAAGATGTGGTTAAACAGGCACTCAAATGTGATTATTACAGAATTAAAATTTGGCACAAACCTTTAGGAAAGCAATTTGTATTCAAAGATCTATGGCCTTTGCGTCAATTGTTTCACACAAATAGATTTATTTTTAAATGATGTCTGAGTAAAAGAAGAGTGGGCATCTGCATGGAGGGGATGACCTGTGGGGAACGTAGAGCCAAAGCATCCATGTGTATGTGTCGGGGGGAGAGGATAGAATAGGGCGTTAGTGGTTCATGTGAGGTGAAGGGACACCCGTGCATGGGGCAGTGGCCACTCCAGGGTATCAGAGTTCAAGCAGCAGCAGCAGAGTGGAGACAGTGGGCAACGGGAGATGAGATACGTAGAAGGGGATTGATGAAATAAGCAAGCATAGTGAGGGTGGTGGGAGCCAGCTTTCTCACTACTGGAGAGAGCAGTTATAACTATGGGAAGAGAGAAGACTAGATTGAAGCCTGAGGTGTAAGAGTGAAATGGAGATTTTGGTGTGGACTCATGGTGGGAAATGTTACAGGTGAAAATGCGCTCCCTTTCTTGTTTTAATGTACATTAAAAAAAAAAGATAAATGAGGTTAAGCATCTTTTTCATTCGTTTGTCATCCATTTTTGGTTCCTTTTCTGTGAAAGGCCTGTTCGTATCTTTTGCTTTAAAAGAGTTTTTGGAATATTAGTAACCTTAGCCATGTGTTCCTAATAAGTATCATGACTATTCCCAGTTTTTTAGTTTTATGTTATTTTATAGCCAAGCAGATTTAATTTTTAAAAAATGTGTTAGGCCTGCCCATTTTTCCCTTATGTTTTCTGGGTTTTGTGTCATACTTAGAAATAGCTTTCTCATCTCGATTCCTCTAAAATGAAGCACTCATGATTTTGTTCATGTTTAAAGTGTGAACCCTCCGGATGCTCTGGTGGAAGTCATGCCTGGGTAACTGCAACAGCCAGGCAGCCCTACTTCCTCCTGTAAGCATAGCAGAGACTGTGAGGGGAGGGTCGTGACCCTGGACTCAGTTGCTGTGTGAGCTTGGGCTGGTTCCTTCACCTCTCTGTGCCTCCATTCCTCATCTGAAACTGAGGATAACAATAGAACCCACCCCAGAAGTGTGTGAGGTAAGGAGTAAATGAGGTAACACACAGGGCTTAGAACTGTGCCTGGCACAGAATATATACTTAGTGAAGCTTAAATATCGTGTTATCAGTCACCATGTGCCTATCTCTTAAGGACCTGCAGAATGACAGGCATAAATCTAGGACCCACTGTCCACTGTCCCAGCAGTGGAGAGTGGACAAAGGCCCGGGAAGGGCTGCCCCATGGCCTGAGAAGCAGCCTCAAGCTCTGTCAGCTCCTAGGATGACTCAGGAAAGGCTGGGCCTGCAGGGGACAGGGCCTGCAAGGCTGTGAGAAGATGGGTTGACAGATGGAGCAAAGGCTTTTAACTGCAGAAAGCCAGCGCTCACTGCCATCGCTAGGAGTCCCTGTTGCCACTAGAATCCTGTGATCGTGGACTTCTTCCCAGCTTGCTGGCTTATGCTCCGAATGAAATCTCCCGGGTGTCCTTGCAGCCTCTTTCAGCATTGTCGTCCCAGTAGGCGCGGGGTGCTTTTTTAATAATAATAAAGGGAATTAAACACACACGCTTACATCTTCACACACACACACACACACACACACACACACACACACACACACACACTTTAAATAATTAACAAATGGAGGATTAAGGATAGAGATTTCCTGGCTTTGGCTGGGTTGAAGCCAGCCACTTAACAAAGGGCAGGCTGATGAATGGCGGCTGGAGGGCCCTGGGAGCAAAGCCACCTGGGGCACGAAGCTCTCAAGCCCTGTCTGGGATGCTCCGGCCTTCATTGTGCTCAGGAGACCTGGGTGAGGGATGCGGCCGGTGGCTTGGCAGCCGGCACTCTGTTCTAGTTTGGCTGCCCTGGGTCACAGCAAGGACCAGAAGCTCTATTTGTGGCGTTGCAAGCCAGTAGTCCTCAGCCTTGCCTCCGTTCCAACACCGACAGCTCTGGCCCACTCTGCCCAGCGTGTGTCCCAAGTTTTCCGCTGTCGTCACAGCCAGCGCTCCATCTTCTTTACCTTCACAGTAGGTGACCGGCTTGCCTCTTTCCTTCTTCCCCACCTGGTCTGGATGGGAAAGCGTACCCTCCTGGAGGCAGCTGGGCTGGAAAGCGCTTCCACAGGGGTCCCACCCTAATTGCCTTCATTTCTCATCTCTCCTGGCTCTTGTTGCTACCGAGCAGCCCGAGCGGCTTAGCCCTCTCGCAGAACACAATTTCTGCTTCTGCCGCAGCCTTCACACCTGCCTACCTGGCGATTCTCTCCTCTCTGCCAACCTGCTTCCTTGCCCTGCTCACGTTCTCCACCTTCACTCCCCGTGCCAGTCTGATGTGCTTGGCTCCAAGCATCCTCATCAACAGACACTCCGGAAATGGTCCTTATGGCTTTCATAGATGGGGAGGCTCTACCAGTGCTTCTCCAGGATGC